AGAGGACAGCCCAGCACTCGGAGGCAGCAGGTGCAGCCAACACTCAGCGTGTCCCAGGCTTCGGGCACAGAAAGCATGCGGGGCTGGTTTAGGGGCGACGCTCACTAACGGACCCAGCGTGGGAGCTGGAGGGCGCTGGGGATGGTGGGTGCGGGCCCCTGAGGCCTCGGGACCTCGCAGCTCAGAGACCCGCTGCTGTGGACTTCTCCAGGTTAGAGTCCAGTCCCTCTGGGCGGTGAGCTCGGCCGCGGGGAAGAACTGGGGCTGCTGCTGCCGCTGTACCGCTCCTGAGGGCCCCCCAGCCTTCCCCAGCTCCCATTGACCTCGGAGGGTATGTCCCTACCGGCGCCTCCAGGAAGGACTGAGACTCCCCTGGCCTGCGCAGTCTGGAGGCCGCCGCGGCCAGCACACCCACGAGGGGAATGCGCCCCCTCCCTGGGGGCTGCACCCCTGCCTCTCTCCGCTCGCTCACCTGGCCTTTCATTGTCTACATGCTGCCTGCAGCTTCTCCTCGGCCTCACACTCACAGAGAAAAACAAGTGTATACTGTCGGTCTGCAGTACTTAAGATTGAAACCACTTTGGCCGTAGCCAGTTTGGCTCAGTGGATAGAGCGTCAGCCTGCAGACCCAAGGGGCCCGGGTTCGATTCCGGTCAAGGGCACGTGTCTCAGTCACAGGCTCCTCCCTGGCCCGGGCAGGAGGCAAATAACCAATGTGTTTCTCTCACATTGATATTTCTGGCTGTCTTTCCTTCTCTTCCACGCTCTCTAAAAGGCAATGGAAAAATATCCTCGGTGAGGATTAACAAAATAAAAATGGAAATAAAATAAAATAAAATGGAAGCCGCTTTGCATTTTGTACGTTTCACAATGAAAAGATGTATGGACCAGGGCTCACTGGGTCGGAATAGAATCACAGAACCTTCCATCCAGGGAGACGCTAAAGTGACAGGTCCCACGTCACCATAGACACTCCTCAGTCCCCACCATTCGGACCTCCCGGACCGCCAGCTGGTGACCACGGGCCTGGACAGCGCCAGCTCACCAGGCCCGCATCGTGATGACCGTCCTGCTCCCCCTGAGGCCTGTGCTTGCGTGACCATGTCCCCATTGAGAGCTGAGAGGACACTGCTGTTTTCCAAGCAAGCACCTCGAGGCTTTCCCATCATTCCCTGCGACCTTCCATCTCGCGGGCTTTGGACCCTCATCGCCATGTGCCCAGCGACACTGGACGCTGACATTATCTATCGTCTGCGTGTGTCATCGTCGCCTCCATTCATCCATCCCCACTGTGAGGCCCGCCTCAGGACAGACACGCAGAGGGGATGAGGGACACAGACACCCAGAGATGCTGCACTGAGTCCCACCGTGCCTCCAGGGTACCCGGCGCCCAGGGCCCCACACCTCACCTTCCCATGTGAAAAACCAGGAATGCAAACACAGTCCCCCCAAAACTCCGACAGGCACCCCTTAATGCACCTAGGCCTCTGCCCTGGGAACAGGCTCTGTCAGAACACAGATGCTCTCTTTAAAAGCCTTTATGACTGAAAGTATCACATATGTCCCTTCCCCTTATGACTCTCCTACCCCCACCCCCACCCAGGCCCTCACCACCCACTGTCTGTGCCCAATGGGGTCAGACAGTCTCTTCGGGAGACGGGCTGGGAACGATGAATCTAGACCGCCAGCGTGCGCCAGACACAGGACAGACTCGCGGCAGGGTAGAGGGCTTAACACAAGCCAGGAAACCATACAGCACAGGAGAACCCACAGGCGATAAACGCACTCCTGAGGGTTTGCTATTCCCTAGCTGATGTGGACACCACCCTGCACACCACGCACAGGCTTCCCGCGGTGTCCTCTGGAGGGAGCTAGGGAGAGGCTGTTTACTCTGACAGAGCTGTGAGGGACCCAGAGGGGAAGGCCAGGCCCTGTGATTGCTCCTCTTCCGCTTCCTCTTCCTCCCCTCCCTCCCTTCCCTTTCCCTCCCCTTCTTTTCCTCTTTCTCTTCCTCCCCTTCCCTCCCCTCCTTTTCCACTTTCTCTGCCCCTCCCCCCTCCTCTCCTTTCCCCTCCCCTTCTTTTCCTCTTCTTCTTCCCCCCTCCCCTTCCCTCCCCTCTCCTCCCTCCCCTTCTTTTCCTCTTTCTCTTCCTCCCCTCCCCTCCCCTCCTTTTCCACTTTCTCTTCCTCTCCCCTCCCCTCCTCTCCCCTCTCCTCCTTTCCCTTCCCCTCCCCTCCCCTCCCTCGCCCTCCCCTCCCCTCCCCTCCTTCCTGCAGCTTTGCTGGAACCATCCCAGTGGAACAGGAGTCAGTCCAGCTGTCACCTGGGGGCTCAAGTCAGACCTGCCTCAGACCAAAGCTCCGGGTGTCCACGATGGTCTCTGTTTTCACTTCCTGCCCCTTGGTTTCACTCACAGGAGGTTCCTGACCGGGTGGGGATTCATTTTCTGAGTCAGCGTGACGGGCCCCAGGGTGTTTGAGGCTGTCTGACTCGATGTGAAGGACTGAACGGATGGCTGAGCAGAGCAGGTCGCCCACCTCCGTGGTGGTCTGAGTCCCACAGCTTCGCCTGGGACAGCGGGCTTTTCCTGCCTTCACCTGACCTGGTCTCCCGCCCCCCGGCCCTCGGACAGCACCTCCCCCATCCCCGCAGTCCCCGCTGCTGCCTGCAGGTCTTGGGACCCGCCAGCCTCCATCAGCACAGGAGCACGCACCCAACCCTCTGCCCACCCTGGCCCGGCTCCCCTGGGAGCACTGACCTGTGCTGGGATGACCTGCTACCCAGGCCGGACAGCTGTGCTGGCCTCACATGGCAGGTGCCATAGCCGCACCTCCCAGCCGCCTGGCGGCCACCGCTCCGGGCTTGAGCAGCCTCCTCTGTGGGTCCTGTATCTCCGTGGACCCTGTGGCCTCAGCCTGGCTTCCCTTGGTGCTGAGGCATTCCGTCAGCCCCACGAGGGCCCTCCCAGAGATGATCCTCTGGGCCAGCGGGTCCGTCCCTCATGCATGCATCCTAGTTTTAAAATTTAACTTTTATTTTTTAACCCTCACCTGAGGATATTTTCCCATTGATTTTTAGAGAGGAAGAGAGAGGGAGAGACAGAGAGAAACACTGATGTGAGAGAGACACATGGATTGGCTGCCTCCTGCATGTGCCCTGACCAGAGCCTGTGAGGAGGGAACCACAACCAAGGTACGTGCCCTTGGCCGGAATCGAACCAGGACCCTTCAGTCCGCTGGCCAACACTCTATCCGCTGGCCAACGCTCTATCCTCCGGCCAACGCTCTGAGTAGGCCCATGCACCCTACTTTGATTTCACCATAAACTCACTAGGATAAGCAGACACAGGGAGCCTCCTGCCAATGCCCCTGCCCTGCCTGCCCGCTGTGACCAAGCCCCGCCTCTATCTAAGCCCCGCCCCCTGTCCTGCCACCAGCCCCGCCCCTGTGTGAGGGGGCTCTGCTCTCAGCCAGGCTCAGGGTCAGGCTTTGCTTTTAATGGCTGTGCCTTCTGAGGGGAGGCTCTGAGGCCTGACTCAGACAAGACATTCCCACCGCATCCCCGCCCTCCAGCCCCCAGCCCCCAGCCCGCCCTGCAGTCTCCCCTCTCCTCCTCGGCTGGGTTCCATTGCTGGGGACCTGAGAACACCGCTGTGACCACTGATCTGCCCGGCCCTGTACGCAGGCCCGTAGCCTGGGGTGGGTGGGCTCCGGCACTCGGCGTCCCGAGTGGGAGAGCCGACACCTCAGGGTGCGCAGAAGCTGGCCGGCACCCCTGTGGGTGCTGGGAGCCAAAGCCAGCTTCCCTCGGCCTCAGGCACGGAGTCTCAGGGAGAAAAGGCGGATCTGAAATAACCCCCATCACCCCCACATTAGCCCCCATCAACCCCATCACCCCCATCCCTCCATCACCCCATCACCCCCATCACCCCCCATCACCCCCATCACCCCCCATCACCCCCCCATCACCCACCATCACCCTCCCATCACCACCATCCCTCCATCACCCCCCCATCACCCACCATCACCCTCCCATCACCACCATCCCTCCATCACCCCCCCATCACCCCCATCACCCCCCCATCACCCCCATCCCTCCATCACCCCCCCATCCCTCCATCACCCCCCATCACCCCATCACCCCCCCATCACCCCCATCACCCCCATCACCCCCATCACCCCCATCACCCCCATCACCCCCATCACCCCCATTACCCCCCCATCACCTCCCCATCACCCCATCACTCCCATCTCCCCCATCACCCCCATCACCCCCACATTACTGAAGGCAGCAATCCCCACCCGCTGTGCCCTCCCTGCAGCAGGAGGTGAAGGCCACAGCGGGGAGCTGGAGGGAGACAATGGAAGACAAAGGGGCCACGTTTTCTAGCTTTGATTCCAAAATGGAGCTTCTCAAAGCCTGGGACCCTCCTTCCCACAAGCAGGGGTGCAGGCGGTTTGAGGGAGGCATTCCCAGGGCGGAGCCAGAGCTGACAGCTTCCTGAGCTCCCGGTGAGAAGACACTCCTGTGTCTGGGCTGTGGCCCAGCCAGGAGCCCGGAGGGGCTGCTCTGGTCAGGGCTGTCTCATTCATTGTCTATACAATACTCATTTGTATTGACTTCAGAGAGGGAGACAGAAACATCAATGATGAGAGAATCATGGACCGGCTGCCTCCTGCACGCCCCACCCTGGGGACTGAGCCCACAACTCGGGCTGTGCCCTCACTGGGAATCGAACTCAGGACCCTTCAGTCCGCAGGCCCACGCTCTATCCATCGAGCCAAACCAGCTCAGGCCAAAGTTGCCTTTGAAAGAAGCCTGAGCTTGCCCGGATCTAAGACAACCAGGGAGGTGAATCTCGGACGGACGTGTGGTCTGCTCTCTCCGGCCAGGCTGGCCTCGCCCGTGACCGCTGAGGGAGGTTGCGCGCAGACACGGAACGAGACGCACAGAGTCACCGCGAATCCCGCAGTGACCGCGAGGGGCGTGAGGCACGTACTGGGTTCAGCAGGACGGTGAGGAACAGCTCGCCTCCCCGGATGCTCTTGTCCAGCTCCTGGGGTCCCCCGGGGTACTCCTTGTAGAAGATGGTGTGGGTGAACAGCCCGCAGGTCTGCCGGGGGAGGACCTGGGGGGGGGGACAGGCGTTAGCCGGCGCCCAGCACAGGCCCGTCCGCACGCTGCTGCCCACGGCGCTGCCGGTGCTGACGCCCAGGTCGATAGGAACCGAGAGCTGTGGTGGAGAGGAGTGAGCAGGGGCGGGTGACTGTGTGAACATGAAAGGAGTGTCACTCCACAGCTGACGGTGTGTGTTCTGTGCCATTGGATCGTGCAGGGTACCGTCCGGCGTCCCTCCTCACAGCCCTGCCAGCCGGAGGCTCAGCCTGTGGCCCCTCCAGTCCCTCCACCTCCTGTCGGGGCTCCTCCTGCTGCCTCTGCCCAGCATCGCTGTCTTTTCCAAAAACCCGCCTCCTCACGCGGCGTCCGAAGCAGACAGCGCCGGTGTGCCGCCTGCCCGCCGTGCCCAGGCCATGCCCGCTGTGCCCAGGCTGGATTTGCTCCAAGACCCACGTGTCTGTCTTCCTGGCATCCATGTGCTGAATCCTTTGCACTCAGGCCTGTAACCCCCTCCCCGCTGGGCTCACTGGGTGAAATGGTTGGCAAACTCAGGCCTCTGGGTAAATTAACTCAAAGGAGGGTCCCCCAGGTCCCACTTCCGGGCACTGAGTTATGGTCGGACACGGCCTTCGGCTCCGGGACTTGGGGTTCTCGTCACTCCCCACCTTGCCCTGAGCTGCTCTCACTGTGCTCAGAACTGAAATGTCAGTCACAGACGTAGCCACGTGATCTGATGATTGCTTCGACATGTTCTGTGGTTAATTCTGTTGTAAATCTGAACATGCCACAGAGAAGGCAAGTCAGTACTTTTATTCTGAGAATTATTCGCAATAATAAACTACTGCTAATCTAATGGGAAATGCATGCAGGTGTACAGCGTAGGTGTAAATTCTATTTATTCTTTGCTTAATTTTTATAATAGCTTGTAAGAAAAGTCAAGGTAAACAGATGCATTTAATACTGGTTAAAAGGAATGTTTTTATTTCATAACTAGAGGCCTGGTGCAGAGATTTGTGCACTGGATGGGGGTGAGGAGGGGTCCCTCAGCCTGGCCTGCACCCTCCTACAGTCCGGGACCCTCAGGGATGTCCGCTATGCCAGCAGGCAGACATCCCTCTCGCAGTCTGGGGCCCTCACAGTCTGGGTGGGACCCCGCACTCCTCACTGCCTGCCTGCAGCGGAGCGGGGAGAGGCTCCTGTCCCCGCAGCTGCGCTGAACGGTGCTCCCCCTGTGGGAGGCACTGACCACTGGGGGCAGCGCCTGCGTTGAGCATCTGCCCCCTGGTGGTCAGTACGTGTCGTAGCGACCAGTTGTTTTGCAGTTTGGTCAATTTGCATATTAGGCTTTTATTGGCTAGAATCTGTCCATGGTCGTGCAGCTTCTCAGCAGCAGGTCCCTTCTCTCTGGTCTGAAGGACAGGGTGACACTCCCCATACCGCCTACCCCCTACTCCCATGAGCATGGCTCCCGCCCTCTCCCCATCCACGGCTCTGGGAGTCTGAGCTGTGAGCTGTGATTGACAATGAGCCAGGAAAGTGTCCCAGAAGCACAGCGAGTGGTGTGCTTCTCCTGGTTTCAGATGGTGATGCCTCGGACAGGGGACAAGCAGGAGGAAACCCTCAGAGGAATCCAGAGCCAGGGGGAGGGTGTGGACAGGAGGAAACCCTCAGAGGAATCCAGAGCCAGGGGGAGGGTGTGGACAGTTGAAGGAAAGGGAGCACGGTGAGTGTGCGGGGTCCCGGGCAGCGGACCCAGGACGTGGCCTAGGCCTGCAGCGAGATGGGCGTGTTCGGACAGCTGCTCTGTCTGAGGAAAGAACACTCTGCTCATTCTAACCAATAGTCATGCGTTCCATCTAAAACACACCTGTTCTTATCCTCATGTAAAGGGGTCACACAGCTTCCTCGCACCAGATTTTGATTGTTTTTTCAGCTAATCTGCCTGGAGAGCAAACGCATGCCTTCGATTTGTCCCGAAGGAGGGGAGAGGAGAGTGAGTGTCAGACCCTCCCAGGCCCGGAGCTGAGTGACAGCAGAGCTCCAGCCCCCGTGCTGCGCGGACCCGCTGCCCTGCCCTGGGCGGGGGCACTCCTGACCTGTGACCCCACCCTCTGCCTGGAAAAGGCTCCATAAACCCCACCCAACACCAGACACTCCCAGGAGGAGCCTCAGGCCTGACGCTGCAGGGACTGCCGCCCGCCCAGCCCTTCCCAAGACGGGAGCTGGTGCTGCGCTTGCAAAGGCCACGGCCGGGTTCAGGGCCAGCATGTGGCCTGTCCCTGCCACGCACGGCAGAAGTGGGGTGCTGTGTGGGGAGATGGGGTGCTGTGTGTGTGAGTTGGGGCACTGTGAGGGAGATGGGGTGCTGTGTGTGGGAGATGGAGTGTTGTGTGGGGGAGATGGGGTGCTGTGTGGGGGAGATGGGGTGCTCTGTGTGAGATTTGGGGTGCTGTGAGGGAGATTGGGTGCTGTGAGGGAGATGGGGTGTTGTGTGGGGGAGATGGGGTGCTGTGTGAGGGAGATGAGGTGCTCTGTATGGGAGTTGGGGTGCTGTGAGGGAGTTGGGGTGCTGTGTGGAAGTTGGGGTGTTATGTGGGAGAGATGGGGTGCTGTGTGGGGGAGATGGGGTGCTCTGTGTGGTATTTGGGGTGCTGTGTGGGAGATGGGGTGCTGTGAGGGAGATGAGGTGCTGTGTGGAGAAGATGGGGTGCTGTGTGGGGAGATGGGGTGCTGTGTGGGGAGATGGGGTGCTGTGTGGAGAAGATGGGGTGCTGTGAGGGAGATGGGGTGCTGTGTGGGGGAGATGGGTGCTGTGTGGAGAAGATGGGGTGCTGTGTGGGGAGTTGGGGTGCTGTGTGTGTGAGTTGGGGCGCTGTGAGGGAGATGGGGTACTGTGTGTGGGAGATGGGGTGCTGTGAGGGAGATGGGGTGCTGTGTGGGGGAGATGGGGTGTTGTGTGGGGGAGATGGGGTGCTCTGTAGGGGAGTTGGGGTGCTGTGAGGGAGTTGGGGTGCTGTGTGGGATTTGGGGTGCTGTGAGAGAAATGGGGTGCTCTCTGAGGGAGATGGGGTGTTGTGTGAGGGAGATGGGGTGCTGTGAGGGAGATGGGTGCTGTGTGAGGGAGATGGGGTATTGTGTGAGGGAGATGGGGTGCTGCGTGTGGGAAATGGAGTGTTGTGTGGGGGAGATGGGGTGCTGTGAGGGAGATGGGGTGCTGTGTGAGGGAGCTGGGGTGTTGTGTGGGGGGATGGGGTGCTGTGTGGGGGAGCTGGGGTGTTGTGAGGGGGAAATGGGGTGCTCTCTGAGGGAGATGGGGTGTTGTGTGGGGAGATGGGGTGCTGTGTGGGGGAGATGGGGTGTTGTGAGGGGGAGATGGGGTGCTCTCTGAGGGAGATGGGGTGCTGTGTGGGGGAGATGGGGTGTTGTGTGGGGGAGATGGGGTGCTGTGTGGGGGAGATGGGGTGTTGTGAGGGGGAGATGGGGTGCTCTCTGAGGGAGATGGGGTGTTGTGTGAGGGACATGGGGTGCTGTGAGGGAGATGGGGTGCTGTGTTGGGGAGATGGGGTGTTGTGAGGGGGAAATGGGGTGCTGTGAGGGAGATGGGGTATTGTGTGAGGGACATGGGGTGCTGTGAGGGAGCTGGGGTGTTTTGTGGGGGGATGGGGTGCTGTGAGGGAGATAGGGTGTTGTGTGAGGGAGATGGGTGCTGTGAGGGACATGGGGTGCTGTGAGGGGGAAATGGGGTGCTGTGAGGGAGATTGGGTGCTGTGTGAGGGAGCTGGGGTGTTGTGAGGGAGATGGGATATTGTGTGGGGGAGATGGGGTGCCTTGAGGGGGAAATGGGGTGCTGTGAGGGAGATGGGTGCTGTGAGGGAGACGGGTGCTGTGGGGGAGATGGGTGCTGTGGGGGAGATGGGTGCTGTGGGGGAGACGGGTGCTGTGAGGGAGATGGGTGCTGTGGGGGAGATGGGTGCTGTGGGGGAGATGGGTGCTGTGAGGGAGATGGGTGCTGTGGGGGAGATGGGTGCTGTGGGGGAGATGGGTGCTGTGAGGGAGATGGGTGCTGTGAGGGAGACGGGTGCTGTGAGGGAGACGGGTGCTGTGGGGGAGACGGGTGCTGTGAGGGAGACGGGTGCTGTGAGGGAGACGGGTGCTGTGAGGGAGACGGGTGCTGTGGGGGAGACGGGTGCTGTGGGGGAGATGGGTGCTGTGGGGGAGACGGGTGCTGTGAGGGAGATGGGTGCTGTGAGGGAGATGGGTGCTGTGAGGGGGAAATGGGGTGCTGTGAGGGGGATGGGGTGTTGTGTGAGGGAGATGGGTGCTGTGGGGGAGATGGGTGCTGTGAGGGGGAGATGGGGTGCTGTGAGGGAGATGGGTGCTGTGAGGGAGACGGGGTGCTGTGAGGGGGAGATGGGGTGTTGTGTGGAGGAGATGGGGTGCTGTGAGGGGAAATGGGGTGCTGTGAGGGAGATGGGTGCTGTGAGGGAGATGGGTGCTGTGGGGGAGATGGGTGCTGTGGGGGAGATGGGTGCTGTGAGGGAGATGGGTGCTGTGAGGGAGATGGGTGCTGTGGGGGAGATGGGTGCTGTGGGGGAGATGGGTGCTGTGAGGGAGATGGGTGCTGTGAGGGAGATGGGTGCTGTGGGGGAGATGGGTGCTGTGGGGGAGATGGGTGCTGTGAGGGGGAGATGGGTGCTGTGAGGGAGATGGGTGCTGTGAGGGAGATGGGTGCTGTGAGGGAGATGGGTGCTGTGGGGGAGATGGGTGCTGTGAGGGAGATGGGTGCTGTGGGGGAGATGGGTGCTGTGAGGGAGATGGGTGCTGTGAGGGAGATGGGTGCTGTGAGGGAGATGGGTGCTGTGAGGGGGAGATGGGTGCTGTGGGGGAGATGGGTGCTGTGTGGGGGAGATGGGTGCTGTGAGGGAGATGGGTGCTGTGAGGGAGATGGGTGCTGTGGGGGAGATGGGTGCTGTGAGGGAGATGGGTGCTGTGGGGGAGATGGGTGCTGTGGGGGAGATGGGTGCTGTGGGGGAGATGGGTGCTGTGAGGGAGATGGGTGCTGTGGGGGAGATGGGTGCTGTGTGGGGGAGATGGGTGCTGTGAAGGGAGATGGGTGCTGTGAGGGAGATGGGTGCTGTGAGGGAGATGGGTGCTGTGGGGGAGATGGGTGCTGTGAGGGAGATGGGTGCTGTGGGGGAGATGGGTGCTGTGGGGGAGATGGGTGCTGTGGGGGAGATGGGTGCTGTGAGGGAGATGGGTGCTGTGGGGGAGATGGGTGCTGTGAGGGAGATGGGTGCTGTGGGGGAGATGGGTGCTGTGGGGGAGATGGGTGCTATGAGGGAGATGGGTGCTGTGGGGGAGATGGGTGCTGTGGGGGAGATGGGTGCTGTGAGGGGGAGATGGGGTGCTGTGAGGGAGATGGGTGCTGTGGGGGAGATGGGTGCTGTGAGGGAGATGGGTGCTGTGAGGGAGACGGGGTGCTGTGAGGGGGATATGGGGTGTTGTGTGGAGGAGATGGGGTGCTGTGAGGGGAAATGGGGTGCTGTGAGGGAGATGGGTGCTGTGGGGGAGATGGGTGCTGTGGGGGAGATGGGTGCTGTGGGGGAGATGGGTGCTGTGAGGGAGATGGGTGCTGTGGGGGAGATGGGTGCTGTGGGGGAGATGGGTGCTGTGAGGGAGATGGGTGCTGTGAGGGAGATGGGTGCTGTGAGGGAGATGGGTGCTGTGAGGGGGAGATGGGGTGCTGTGAGGGAGATGGGTGCTGTGGGGGAGATGGGTGCTGTGAGGGAGATGGGTGCTGTGAGGGGGAGATGGGGTGCTGTGAGGGAGATGGGTGCTGTGGGGGAGATGGGTGCTGTGGGGGAGATGGGTGCCGCTCACCATGATGCCGTCGTGGACGAAGCCCCTGCGGTGCCGGGCGGGCTTCAGGTGCGGGTACTCCTCCGTGCTGGTCACCTGGACGCCCCACACCTGCTTCCAGGCCGCGTACAGCTGCGCGTGCACCGGGTACACGCCCGAGTGGTGCGGCGCCACCGCGTAGCCCATGTCCACGGGGATCCCGTGCGCCTGGAAGAGAGCGGGCGTCACGTGGGCGGCGGGCGGCGCTCGGTGCGGGGACCCGCCTCGCGGCCTGCGGAGCTGGGGCGGGCGCGGTGCCCCGGGCCTGCGGTGTGGACGTGACTCTGAACCCTGACTGCAGAGCGGGGGGGAGGGGGCAGGGGGCGCGAAGGAAGAGCACACACCCTCCTCAGATGATGGAGAAAAGTGTTACCGAGCCCCACAGAGAGACTGCAGAGCAGGGTGTGTGCGAGTGGTGGTGTGTGTGAGTGTGTATGTGCGTATGTGCAGTGTGTGAGTATGTTGACAGTGCATGAGTGTGTATGTGTGAGGTGTGCGTGTATGTGCAATGTGTGTGTTCACTGTATGAGTGTGTGTGTGTATGTGGTGTGAGGGGTGTGTGTACACATGTGTCTGAGTGTGTGTAGGCTGTGTGTGAGTGTGACGCAGCTAGGAGTGTGCGTGAGTGTGGTGAGTGAGCTGTGATGCTGACGAGCAGAGGTGGGTGTGAACCACGCGCTGACGAGCTCTCCCGCTGACCCGGGCCAGGGTGGCTGATGGCCGGTGCAGGCAGGGCGCTGGCCGAGCACAGTCGTGTCTGCTCCACCTCGGGGAAGGACCCAGTGGCAGGGGGGGCAATGCCTGGGCAGCCACTGGGCGTGCAGGGGGCAGGAGGGGGGGGGCCTGCTGGGAGGGCTGGCTCCCCGGGTCAAGGCAGGCCAGTGCGGTGACCTCAGGGACAGAGGCGGGACAGGGGGCCGAGGTCCCCGCCTGCCCAGCTCCCTTTGTCTTCAGGGGACGCTCTTTCTGGGCAAACCGCTGACCCCTAATGACACAGGTGTAAACGTACACGAGGATGTGAACACATCCTCAGAGAGGTTCCTGCTTTAGACTGCAGCTGTCTAGTTGTGCTCTTTGTATGTCTCCCTCTAAGGCTCCTCTGCTCCGGGGAGAACACCCTGGACCGATTCCTCACTGTCAGTTATCACCATAGACAACCAGCGAGTCCAGCGCAGCCCAGCCGACTTCATGGTCACACCCCCAGTTCCTGGGCCTGGCGGACCCCCCAGTTCCTGGGCCTGGCGGACCCCCCAGTACCTGGGCCTGGCGGACCCCCCAGTTCCTGGGCCTGGCGGACCCCCCAGTTCCTGGGCCTGGTGGACCCCCCCTCCCCCCCAGTTCCTGGCGGATCCCACTCAGTTCCTGGGCCTGGCAGGTCCCCCCAGTTCCTGGGCCTGGCAGACCCCCCAGTTCCTGGGCCTGGCGGACCCCCCAGTTCCTGGGCCTGGTGGATCCCCCCAGATCCTAGGCCTGGAGGATCGGGCACAGTGAGCGGGACCTGTGGCTCCTGGGCTGTGGCGCCCGGGTCATGCCCTCACTCAGCCCCTAGGTCGGGCCTCCCCTCCTGCCGCCCCCTCCTTCCTGCCAGGACCCTCACTGCCCCGCCTCCCGCCACTCCTCACTCAGAGGAGTCTGCTTCCTGACATCTATCAGGATCAATAACCCTGGAGAGATGGGATTTGAAATCAATGCTGTAAAATGAGTGGAGTCTCCTGCCAGGCACAGGGACAATTCTGTTCCTGGCAGGAGCTGGACGGCACACTTCTGCCAGAGCTGAGTTTTCGAGATGAGGCACGTGGGAGCCGGAAACAAAGCCGTGGGAGCTACGAGGTGGGGGTTGGGGGGGGCGGCCACCTTGTCCCTGACACCGCCCTGGGGCCGCGGTGCCCAGTGAATGGTCACAAAGGGGGTGGCGCCGGGGAGCTGGCAGGTGCTGCCCTGGTTAGACAGGTGTGCTTCCCTGGGGGACGCCGGGGTGGGGGTGACGCTGTCTGGGGGTGATGCTGTCTGGGGGTGGCCAGGCACAGGCTGCTCGAAGGCCGGATCTGCGGGAGAGGGCACAGCAGGGTGTGGAGGCTGGACCTCCCAGTGGCTCACAGGAGGTTTGCAGCAGCCCTGTCCCGAGAGGGAGGAGCAATAGCAGGGGCAGCGCCCTCCCTCTGCCGCCAGCCTCCTGTCTGTCCCAGAGGGACTGAGCCTCACGTCGGCCGGGGACACTCCGTGAGCGGGTGCGTCCCAGAAACACAGGGTGAGAACCACCATCAAGGAGAGGAGGAGAGAAGGAGAGGAGGAGAGGAGGAGAGGAGGAGAGAAGGAGAGGAGGATAGAAGGAGAGGAGAGGAGAGGAGGAGAGGAGGAGAGAAGGAGAGGAGGAGAGAAGGAGAGGAGGAGAGAAGGAGAGGAGAGGAGAGGAGGAGAGGATGTGAAACGCTTCCCGAGGACCGGGTACTGAGTACCTGCCGGCTGATACGATTGAAGAAAACTTATGAGACCCTGTCGATTACATTAGGGATTGGGTGCTAATCACGACGTATTCTATTCTAGTTTTTGAAAAATGGCGACCCTATGTAGGGTTTGTATGTAGCCCGTGAATTAGCACGTTACCTCATTTTCCAATCCCCTGGGAACTCGAGGTCGCGGGGAATCAGGTCAGGTTAAACCCTGGCAAACATTGGTGGGGCCACGTTGGCTTCTCCTAGAGGTTCCTCATTCTTGTAAGAGACGTTGTTTTGACAACTGCTCAAACCACCTCTGAATGTTGATTCTGACATTTCTATCGTGCTTTTATAGTTTAGTTTCAAATGCGTCCTGTGTGTGCATCGGAGAGCCTCTCCAGCTCTGTAGGCTGGGGATCTTTTGTGAGTCTGAGGCTCAGCTGTGGTCTGTGGAGAGCAGCCTTGAGCTCTGGATGGGAGAGGATGAGCGCGGCTAGCCCTCCGGCCTCTGGCCCAGGAGGAGCGGCTGGGGTGACTGCTCACTGTGGCCAGCGTTCCGATGGAAAAAGCACAGACTCCTAACTGCCTGGGTGACTGATACCCGCTGCCTCGGTTGTCAGAGGGAGAAGGCGGCCCTGTGAGCAGTATAACTTGAACTGGAAATTAATAAAAAACAACTGGTCCCCACCTAGCCCAGCTGCCCTGCCCCCTCCTGGCCCAGCCGCCCTGCCCCCTCCTCGCCAGCCCAGTGCTTCTGCTGTCTGGGCTCCCAGAAGAGTGCTGGATCCATGCACTGCCCATGGCCCTGAGGAGCCAGATCCCCCAGAGACCAGCTGCTGGGTATTTCAGTCCTCTCCTCCTCTCCTCTCCTCCTCCCCTCCTCTCCTCTTCTCCTTCTCTCCTCTTCTCCTCTCCTCCTCTCCTCCTCCCCTCTTCTCCTCCTCCCCTCTTCTCCTGCTCCCCTCCTCTCCTCCTCCCCTCCTCTCCTCTTCTCCTCTCATCTCCTCCTCTCACTAATTTAAACACATCCTTTTGCAGACATAGATTTGCGTGAACTATTACTCTCTCTGAACAACGGAACCTATTTCCAATATTATTTTTGCATCACGATGAGACTCCCCTTAGGAGTCAGTTTCCCCTTTAATGTCAGCGTCATGCAGTTATGGAAACATGCCTTAAGCATTTGGGTGGGTGTGGACCATCCTTCTGCTTGGTGGTCCCTCCCTGTCTCCCATATTCAGCTATATTCAGGGTATTATTACATCTGACCTCCAGGACAGCCTAGGCCTGTCTAAGAGTTAAATTAATTCTTGTCTTCAAATTTATGGAACTTTGACTACCATGTGAGATAACCTACATTTCATTAAATGAAATATAATTTTATGTTAATAGATGGTACTTATATGTTAAATTAATTATGACCACTTAATTAACTTCCTATAAAGATGACTCAATTACTATGCTTTTCTGTAGATATGTGGACATGTTTCAAACAAAACGCAGACCAAAATAGTATATTTCCATCTGATCACCATCATGTTAAAGGGGCATCATATATGGATATCCAAGTGCAGGTACCACTCTCATCTCAAATGACTTCACATCCAGCACAACCTGCTTCTCACGTCATTAACCAGCACCCAGCCCTCCACTTGCATGTGCCTGGAACAACCTCTCACTCCTCATCGTGCTCAGGTCACCGCAGGAAGGGCTGTGGGAACGGAAGTGCCAACTGGAAGAGGTACCGTGGAGACAGAAATGTCTGCCCAGGATAGATGAGTGTCAGACAAACAATCAGGTTGACTTTTTCAAATTGAAAAATGCAAAAGAGGGGAAAAAAAGGAAAATAAAAAGAAGAACATGGTACCTAATGTGTTTGATGGATTACCTAATTTGCATAGTGTATGCTCAGTAAGGCAGGAGTTAAATAATGATAAAATCTCTTAAAAATTTTGGCTCTTGACTATGTCACAGTCATTTTAGAATTGAAAACAAGTTTGGTCATTGAAATAATAAAATTAAAACAAGTCAGTGAAAGCTCATTATGCTATTTTTGACTATTTTAAGAATCTGCTCAAAAGCTGCTATCTAACAATTAATTGGTAAATAGGCATAAAATCTCACTATCAACACTCCTTAAAGAGTGTTGGGTCATTACATTCAGGTATTCTATATAGATATGCCTTTTATGAGTCTATAAATTTTAGATAATGGGGCAATTAAAAAATACAAGCACTCTGTGCCCATCACACTGGGCTCCAACTGTGGGCCAGAAACACAAAATGGAAACAGAATCAGTAGATTACAAAGAAGAGCTTATTTTTCTTGAGTTAGTCTGGAGCTAGTGGTTGGTTCAGAAGCCTGGGTGCCCGAGGTGAGATTTCTGAGTCCCTCAGCCTTTCCTCTATAGTTGTGCAATGAACCCCTTAGCTCCAGCCAATCGGGCTGTAAACAGGCCAAGAGACACAAACAAAGGCCAAGGGCAGAGAGCAGAGTCAGTGTGTTGAACCCCCTTTCCTGGAAGGCCCATTCCTTGACTTACACGCTCTCCCATTGGCCAGAACTATATTAAATGCCCCTACCTCAAACAAAAGCCGAGAAATCAGTCCTGTAGCTGGACAGTTTGCTCCACAAGCAAACTCTGGATTCATCCAAAAGCAAGGATATGGAGATGGGCACAGTAGTTCCCCCTTATTGTCAGGGACAGGGTATAAGACCCTCACTGGATGCCTA